GCTCAGCTGGGCCGCCCGGGCACCTGCGAGCCGAGCAACGAGCGGCCTGGCGCTCCCCCGGCCCGCTCCGCGCCTACAGCATGCAGCCATCTGGCGGCTGGCGCGCCCCGGACTTGCCCCGAAGGTGGGAAGGGAACCTCGGAGGTTTGCACGGTGGTTTCAGTCACTCGTGCTTGGTGGGGGGTGGGGGCGCGGGAGGGTCTGCGAGAACAAAGAATTACCGAGCACCCACAGATCGTTTTTCTGGCGCAAAGTGCTAGCTACAACAGGAGTGTTTGGTTTAGGCAAGGTTAGGTAGCAGGCGACCTTAAAAAAAAAATGGCATCCCGCTAATCCTCGAGGACCCTAGTTTTGTGGATCGTGCCACAAATCACCGGGGTGGCTTCACCTCTCAGTTCGGAAACTAGATCGGCAGCCGAAAGTGATGGCTCAACTCGCCAGTAGTAGTGGCATTAATAAACAGGAGCTTTACGGATGAAGTGTTGAGAGTTTTATCAGGATTTCTTTAAAAGGCAAATTCCTCCTCTGCGCTGCTCTTGTAGCTTAATTTAAGGATTCTATCGATGCGAAACTGTGGTTGTCGATGCCAAAGAATGGAGGTTGGAGGAAGGGAAGACTGCTTTTCTTGGATGCAGATTTGCATTTCTTCTAACATTAAAGCAGATGTATGCATTCCCTTGAGCTATTACAGATTATAAACCTGCCCCTAGGAAAATGTTTTCCATGCGAAGTGACAGCGTGATTTTATTCTTAATGGACTCAACCTAAATATATACTTAGCCAACTATTTGGGTTCCTTGTGTGGTAAGGGCTCTCCCCACACCCTTACTAAGCACTATTCATACACACACCCAACTCCTGTGCTTAAGTCTTCAAACACTTTAGAGCTACAGAGCAATTTTGGATCTAGAAAAGGGACATAATTTGGAAGGATGATACAAATTACTTTTAAGAGTCTAATATGTTAGGCAGTCTTGGCTGTCTGGTCCCTTTAATGCCGTTTTCAGAATTCAACTCAACAGCCCCAGTTTCTTCCCTGCTATTAACTACATCTCTTGCTTCAGTGGAAACCAGTATTCTTCCTTTAAAATTAACACTGGAAGGATTTTTGTTTTGCAAACCCCCATTTGTTTGATAAAAAGGGGGAAGGGAACGGTAAACAGGAAGGGTGCCAGTTCTGTCATTGGTTCTGATTTACTCAGTTATTTTTGCCTTACAGTGAGACCGAAGTGCTGTCTAGATGTCATTTTAGTTCACAATGATGGCACTCCAAAACTACAAATAAGGGCCCTGTGGATTTTTTGTTTTGGTGGGCCCTCTGGGTGGTGTGTCTCTTTACTTCTAACATAAAATAAATGCATTACAGTCTGACATAATTTTTTTTCTTCCTTTTGAGTTAAAAAAAATTTATACATCCCTGAAACATTTAAGGAAGCCATCCTCAAAAGTTGAAGTTAACAGGTGGAGTATTTCTGTCCTTGGTGTTAATATAATGTATATAATTTGGCCCCTTAATTCGGAGTATTGTGATAAATATTGTTAAATTCAGATCAGGCAGTGGTAGCACACGCCATTAATCTCAGCACTGGGGAGGCAGAGGAAGCAGGTGGATCTCTGTGAGTTCAAGGCCAGCCTGGGCTACAGAGTGAGTTCCAGGACAGGCTCCATAGCTACTGGGAAACCCTGTCTTGGAAACTTTAAAAAAAAAAAATCCAATCCAGGGTTATGTTAGAAATATAACCTCCCTGTAGACCCTCCATTGAGTGAGTAAGTCTAGGAGGTAAGATAACCTGTGTCTCTAATTTTAAGAAAGCCTGTAGACTGCACTTTTTACTATTAAGAGATGTTTGTCTTTTAGGTTAAAATTGGACAAGGATCCACCACCTTTTGACAGGTGTTTGGGAGCATCCCCAATACACAGTTCTGACAGTATTTCATGACAGTAAGTATTTGACCATTTTGGTTAATTCTGTATGAAATAAAAGGACAGCTGATATATTGGAGAGGCTGTATAACAAACCTTAGAAGTCTGGACAGAAAGGCCCTGTACTCATCCCTTTGCCTCTGGTCAGCTCTCGGCACATGCTCACTGGTAAAGAGCCGGCCCTCCTGCGTCTGGGCTGTCTGTTCAGCTGGCAGGGTTATGTGCTGGATGGAAAGGGCTGAAGAAGGGGGATGCGGTTTTCTGGGAATGTCAGGAGGGGTCCTCCCTGGCCCAACATAGCCTAACAGATGGGTGTCACCGGTGTACCACAGGCTTGGAGATGGAGGCAGGTAGTTGTCCCAGATTGGGGTTTCACAGGCTAGTGCTGTGGCCGCTCCCACCTGGCCATCTGCCTCTTTGGGTCTGACTCTGTTATAGGATCTATGACCTTAGGCAGGGTACAGTTCCTGTGAGTCATGGTTGCTTCACTCTCAAAGGGAGATCTGCATTTGGTGGTCCCTCGGGCATAGTCTAGTGCTAAGAGTTTTCTCAGGTTAAGAAGGGAACCTTGTAAAGCCATGAAGGGGATTTGGATTGGATGCCAGAGACCTTGTGGAAGCAGTTTTGGAGAGTTCGCCTTGATAGTGTGCTAAGCTGGGCTGGGTGGTGATCCAGTTGGATAGAAAGGTGGGAACGGGGCTGCTTCTGCTGATCAGTCAGCCTAGACCAGGAGACTGGTGCCCTTTAGAGTCGCCAGCGAAGGAGATGAATTAAATTCCGGTGTTCACTGATGGTTGCTTACATGGCAGGCAAAACCGTGATTGTAACTTTGGTGTTTATGAGAGTGGAGGTACTATTTAATGAGTTCACTAGAAGAGTAGAGAAGAAAGAGCCAACAATAACCTTGGATTGAAGCTAGCAGTTAGGGGACAGAGTAAGAGTGTTGCCCTGGAAGTCTCGGGAGGGAATTGGGCAGTGGGGTCAGTCTGCAGTGGTAGATCTGGAAAGGCAACTTTTCGAGGGGTTTCGTTGGCGCCTTGGCGCTTAAGAGCCTGGGAATGGAAAGCTTCATAAGGACCATGTGACCCGTGAGAGTGAGCTAGACAGGGAGTGGGGCGGGGGGTGTGCTGCAGCCATGAGGGCATGCCATATTTAACGGGGCACATGTGTGTAGGGAGAGTGAGGAAGGCAGGCAGTGCTGAAAATAGAGGAGGTGAGGAATCCTGATAGTGTTTCTCACCCTGCAGAAAAGACAGAGCCCGGAAGAGGTTAGGTCTGTATGAGAGGAAAGAGCAAGAGCCAAGCTGTTTGAAAAGGCATAATTACAAGCGGCTGAGGCTGGTGTGCTCGTGGGGAGCATCATGGTGTGCTCGTGGGGAGCACCATGCCTCTGCTCGGGCCTTTTGCGCAGTAACCTGTCTCGGCAACCCCGATTCTTTCCATAGAGGATGGACGCGACCTGTTGCCGACACTTCTAGTTAGTGGGAGCTGCCTCCACCTCAGACAAGCCCAAGGGGCACACTGGTCCCAAACTCCAGAGCACATCTTGAACCACTGTAAGCGTCACTCTGCGTTTCTGAGCAGCTTAAGTGTTTTTGTTATATAATCAATAGACGGAGAATGGAGAGAGGTACATGGAAAGTCAGACTACGCACTATAGGAAAAGCGACCAGGACCATGTCTGTAAGGAATACGGGGCCCTAGGTTTGAGCCCCACTTACTCCATCAGCTTGGGCAGGTTCGCACCCTCACCTTCCCCTTCTTTTTAAAAATTACATTTAGTTAGTGTGTGTGTGTGTGTGTGTGTGTGTTGGGGTGATGGCGTGAATATGCATGCCATGGCCGGATGTGGAGGTCAAGGTCACTGTGAATGACTTCTCTCCTTCCCTGTGTGGGTCTGAGGGATCCAGCTCAGGTAGTTAGGCTTGGAGACAAGCCTGTGTGCCTGCTGAGCATCTCGCTGGCCTGTGGCTAAGCATCTTAAGCCGCAGCATAGGGCTGTGAACATCTCTGCGGTAGTTAGCAGTAGTCAATAAACACACAAGTTAGAGAAAACACTGTTTACCAATGCTTACTGTAGTAGCAGGTGATTAGTCTGGTTTGAATAGTGCTACTACTTTAAAATCAGAATAAAAATGCATTATCACGTTATCTTTAAAGAACAGCATTATCAATTCAGCTGGGTAGCGTAGTCGTTGGACCCAATGTAATGAAAAGATCTCTGAATTTCTGTTCCCCAGGCCTAGAAGGTATCCCAGTTAGACACGTAAATTCAGTCCTGGCCAACTGGGCCCCTTGTCGCCTTATCCTTGCATCCCTGGCCTTTCCATCCCTCTCCTGCCCTCTGCATCTACAGCCACGCATCTCCTGATGCGAATTCCAGCATCACTCTTCCCTTGAGCTCTCTGCAGCCAGGCAGAAGTGCTGTGTGGTCACTCGGTCCTGTGGACATGCAGGGCTCTGAGGGGATTGTCTCACCTCACTTCCCGCCGTAACAACAGTGTTGCAGACCCTTCTGTCTTCTGGCTCTAGTCCTGCTCCCTCCAGGCCATTTTCTGTACTGGACGATAGTCTTGTACTAGAACTCGCCCTTTGAATGCTCTTGTCCACGGGGGAGCAGCTTAGGGTTTTGTGTGTGTATATATGTGTGTGTTTCTCTATTTCTTTCTGAAACGTCATTGCACACTCACCCCCACTCCCTTTGGGCCTGATTTCTATTCTTTTAGTCTCAGTTTAAATGCCATATCCTTTTGTTGTTTGGTTTTTCAAGACGTTTCTTTATGTAGTCCCATGTGTCCTGGAACTCGCTCTGGCCTCAAACTCAGAGATCCACCTGCTTCTGCCTCCTAAGTGCTGGGATTAAAGGCGTGCGCCACCACCACCACGAGCTAAATACCATCTCCTAATGGAGCTTTTTTTTCTTGGCCGCCTCAGACTAGTGAAGCCCTTTTGAAGTAAGGTCACTAGCAAAACCTCTTTATTTTTCTCATCACTGGCAGCATTAGCAGTTGACTGATTGATTGTCATTATTTATGTAAATATATAACAATATGGAACATTGTCATTATACTGTGCTCGGTATTTACAGATAGGTCTTCTGATCCATACAGAAGCCTGTTAGCGTAAGTCCTCTGTTCATCCACCTTGTTGAAGGTCTCGTGGCCAGTGAGGAGCAGGAAATTCAGACTGGGCAATTGCAGAGCCCGTGGACTGGGAGCCCATGCACTGCTCTCTACTCCCTCACCCTGTCCCCAGATTACATAATACTTGTTTTCTCTGCAGGAAGAGGACGGAGCCCTTATCTGTTATTTGCTGTTGGATGGCCACACAGCGTGGACCAGTAAACACTAAGTATTCACTCAGTGAAATATTTGTTGGCCGACTTTCATCTATTCTCTTTCATAAAAATTCGATAGAAAAACAACCCTTTCGCCTTTATAACAAGCTTTCCCCACTTCCTCGCATACAGCAGGGCAGCTGGCATGCTGTGAGACCCAGAGCTGAGGCTGCTTATCCCAGCAGTGCCGGCTGCTGGTGGAGCAGAGTGGAGGTTACACAGGCGGGGTTAATGGTAGATAGGTAGAGTGGAGGTTACACAGGCGGGGTTAATGGTAGATAGGTAGAGTGGAGGTTACACAGGCAGGGTTAATGGTAGATAGGCAGAGTGGAGGTTACACAGGCGGGGTTAATGGTAGATAGGCAGAGGTGAGGGACAGAAGGTGTGAAGCCACGGGGACTGCATGCCAGGCACTGTCTTCGCAGCTCTGCCGTGCTAATTCTGACAGCCTGCAAGAGAGGAGTGCAGGTGGTCCGCGGGACAACCCCAGTGCCAGTGGACAGCACGATGGCAGGCATCGGGCCTTTCGCTCTGGTATCCTTGGTTGTATTTATAAATTAATTCATCTCTAGTCCACCTAGCTCTTAGAACAGTCTCTTGCCCGGGGGGCGTTAAGGCTAGTATCCTGTGAACATTCACTTAGCCAAGAATTTCAGTTAGCCAACCTCATTAGTCAAGATTTAGTTCCAGTTGTGGGTTCTGAATCAAATCTTTTGGTCTTATTTCCTTTAAAACAGTGAACCCTCAGCTGTTCTAGTAGAGCATCTCTCCATGGCCAGTAGGTCCATTGTCATAGCCCTGAAAGCATTTATGATCAAAGACATAGCCTTTCTGTTGGGGTGGTGGTTGCCATGTGCTAGTTAGTATAAGATGTGGGGGCAGTACCTGTCCATGTATATAGAAATGAGTGTGACTTTCCATCTCCATGGACAAAGGCTCCTTTAAACAGTTATAAGTTACAGAAATGTATCGGTCTGCAACGGAATTAGACAGCAAAGCCAACAGATGCATGGGAGACATGCCATGTTGAAAACTTGGAAATCAGCCTGGTGCATTGGTTTAGAAAAAACCCACAGCGATGGAGAATATACTCTATGAGGAGTGGGCTGCTGCCGTCAGTACCGACTTCTAGGCCTTAGCTCAGTGTGCCAGTGAGACTCCACATGCTTGCCATGTGGACATGCAGCCTTAGGTTCTCCACACACAGGCCAGTCCTTCCATGTTTAGTATTTGCAAAGCAGAAAGCCTTCTGGATCTGCCGGTGGTAAAATTAAATGAAATCTGTTCAGGGCTAACCCCCCACCCCCGATTTTTTTTCTCTTAGAGATCTTGTTTCTCATAGCCCTAAGCAAAATAAGGCAAGTTGGGGCTGAGGAAGAGCGTAGTTGACTCAGTCCTCACTGCATGAGAACCTAAGTTCAGTCCAGAATACATATGGTTCAGTTCAGAATACATCTGTGCGCGCGTGTGCCTGCCTGTGTGTGTGCCTGCCTGTGTGTGCGCCTGTGTTGGAAACAGGCACATCTCTGGGTTCTGTGGCCGACACCCAAGCCTGGTGACTAGTTGCAGGCCTGTGAGAGACCGTCCATAAAACAAGGTGTCTGCCTGAGGAATGATACCTGAGGTTGACCTCGGGCCTCCACGACACAGAGAGTCACTGTAAGGCTTGTTCTGGTCATCTCTGTATTCTGTATTCAGGTCTCTTCAGTATTTCCTTTTGTTTAAAGAATCAAAAAATTTGAGGAGCTAAGGGAAAATACTTGTATTAGACCAGAGGTGATGAGCTCATTTAGAACCTGATGTAAAGCTAGGGATGGCGGCATTATGCCCGTCTTCTCAGGTTTGGGTCAAGGCAGGAGGACTTGTGTTGTGTGTTCAGCTGTCTGTGTGACGAGACCCTGCTGGAAAAAGGGGGGCACTTACTTTTAGGTGGCAGGGAGGAGTGCTGCAGGAGCTAAGGGTGACTGGTGCTTGGGCACTGGGCGTCTGGAAGGGACGGGCTGGCCCACTGCCCAGGAACTGCTGTGCTCGCTTGATCTGGTGTTCCAAGGAGAAGTGTGAGTTAGGGCTGACTGTTCTATATTTGAACATTATGTAGTTGAAAAGCAAGAGGCGTGTACTTTAGATTCATTTTGTTTGTTCCTCTATTGATTTTACACTTACTACATATGGAAGATGGACAGGAATGTTGGGTAGTTAGCAGATTATTGAGAAACTTCCTAATCAAGGAATGTATTTCAGTAAGGTAAACTGAAAATTAGAATTGGTTGACCCAGCGAGACTGTGCTGAGCCCTGTTTTCCGAAGAGCACTAACAGACTTCGTCTCCCTAGATGGATGGCGATAGCTCGACGACAGACGCTTCTCAACTGGGCATTTCCGCGGACTACATAGGAGGGAGCCACTATGTTATACAGCCTCACGATGGTAAGACGCACAGCTAGAATCAGACACGCTAGGGCACCAGAGTCTTGACAGCAGAGTGAACATTTGCATGCCGTGGTTCCCTGGAATCTAAATGAGGGCCTGGTCTAGGGACCCAGTCTATATTCCCACCTGTCTGGGAGGCTGGAGCAGGAGGGCTACAAGTTCAGGACAAGCCTAATCAGCTCGATGAGCCCCTGTCTCAAAAAGTTATGGCCAGGTATGGTAGTGCAGTTAGGGCTTTAACCCAGCACTCAGGTGGCAGAGGCCAGCCTGGTCTACATAGAGTGTTTTGGGACAGCCAGGGCTACATAGAGAAACCCTGTCTCAAACAAAAGAGAAGTGGGGAGGAGATGAAGGGAGAGGAGCGAAAGGCATCAGCTGGATAGAACTCAGTGCTCTGTCCTCCCCTAAGACCCTTGCTTCAGTCCACGTATCCCAAAAGCCAACCCGTTGTAGCAGGCACACCCTGCTGTCTTTATTAGATACACTCTTTGGGAGAGTGGCGAGGCCTAGGCAGAATTCTCTAAAAGGGAGCTCTAAAACGTGTCAGACTTTAGCACTGACTCCCTCTGAATAGTAAGGGGAATTCTTATGCTAATCACCAGGAATAGTTTGCTTTTGTAGCATTTTAATTTGTAAAATTAGACATTAACCTGTATTTTTTAGGAGCTCTGAAGGGATTAGTGTTACTAGATACTATATTATTTTCCAGTTGGGTCAGTCATATTCAAGTCTTAATTTTTTAAAAATCTACAGAATTTAATATAAAATTTATATGAACAGGTTATGTAAGTGCTAGCTAGGAGTTTTATACTTTACATATACAAGTTTATAGAAACTTGGCTTTAGACAAACATAAACTTGGTCTAGTAATATTTAAGGAGCGTAGGTTACAAACTGAGTTTTATAGCTAAGTTAGGCAGTGAATGAGGCTTGACTCTGCCAGTGCTGGGGATTGAGCCCAAGACCTCGTGGGTGCCCGTCAAACATTTTGAGTTCCTTCTTCTAGTGGTGAGCATCTGCTCTGTGAAACCAAGTCCCAGGCACACAAAGCTGATCCTGGCATCAGGAAAGAATCTTGACAGGGAAATGAAAAGGGAAGGAATTGTAACACTGTCACAAGAAGCAGCACAGAGAACTAGCCAAGGCACTGCCTGGAAGGGGAGGGCACTCTGCACGGTGTTAGTGGGGCCTCTTGAAGAGTGAGTGGTGGGTTTTACATGACAGCAAAGACAAAAGAATTGTAGGCACTGGGTTTGATATGAATGGGTCAGCACTAACCCTGAGGAAATGTGGAAACACAGTTAGCATGGTCTTGGAGGAGCACTGGGTGATGAGCCACAAGGCTCTTGCTTTAGATCACCAGATTGTCTTTCCAAAGTGGAAGGAAAATATGAGGAGTGTTAAACAATTCTTTTTACTTGTGTGTTTGTGCCTGGGTGAACCTATATGCACCATGTGTGTGCAGTTGCCTGTGGAGGCAGAGGGCATCAGATCCCTTGGAACTGGAGTTACAGGCGGTTGTGAGCTGCCTGATGTGGGTGCTGGGAACCGAACCCGGGTCCTCTGCAAGAGCAGTAAGTGCTCTTAACCGCTGAGCCATCTCTCCAGTCCCTAAACCTAATTCTTAAAAAACTTTCTTTAGATACTGAGGACAGCATGAATGATCATGAAGATACAAATGGTTCAAAAGAAAGTTTCAGAGAACAAGATATTTATCTTCCAATTGCAAATGTGGCTAGGATAATGAAAAATGCCATACCTCAAACAGGAAAGGTAACGTAGAGGAGACTTTGTCTGGCTTTTCTTTCCAGGGGGAGGGAGAGGGAGTGGAAACTGGAAGACACATGTATACATAGTCCAATCAGTAGCGAGCTATTGATTTCCATCCCCAGCCTTTTAGCACATCAAATATTTGTTTGTGACGACGTGGCTACCTCAGTGTCTGTCTTCAGTCCCCCCCCCCATACACTCCATACACACACCTAGAGTGCCAGTGGCTGAGGTGGCACTGGACTGGTAGCTGTGAGGGTTCCAGGACACCTTGGTATTTGGAAACAGCTGTTTACATTTTTATACAAATAGAGGCGATACGCACCTCAGTTCACACACACACACACACACACACACACACACACACACACACGCACGCATGCACGCGCACGCACAAACACTCAAACACATGTCTTAGACTCCTCAGTCAGGTGTGGTGGCACTTGCTTTTAATTCTAGCATTTGGGGAGCCAAGGCAGGATTGCCAAGAGTTCAAGGGCCACATAGCAAGTTCCATACCAGCCTTGGCTACATGATGAGACCTTGTATTATAAAACCTTATCACTCAGCCTATCATTTGGTCTGAGGTAAATTTCTTACTTTATATATTGCTTCATATATAATATATATGCATATTTATATTAACCTTTTCCATTACTTTTATAAACCTTCTTTTGAAAGTAAAACTTCCAAATAAATATACTGATAATACATTACTCACACTGTAATTCTGATCTGAGATATTTCTACTTATGTTTCAGGGCAGAGCAATTGTTCTAGATTTGCTTTTAAGTAGCTCATGCTTGCTTAGTCTCTTATCAGAACCCCAGCCATCTGGGTCACCAACAGCTGAAATGTGGCTGCTTTGAAAGGAGTCATCCCACAATTAAACCACTATATTTTAGAGGTCTGTTGTGAGGACAGTGATCACATGGTTCTGCTATAATATGCAATATATATTATAGCATATACACATGCTAGGTAAAGTCATGGATATGGCTTCACATGGAAGCAGACAAAGTCAGACACTTAGCTTGCATCCTATTGTTTCTGTCCAGTCGATTATGCAACTCATTTACTTCTCCATCGTATAAAATGGACATGGAGGTAAATGACGGTGTATGTGTTTATTTAGGGAGGAGTGTGTGTGTGCTCATGTGTGCTTGTGTATGTGCAATTGCATACATGTACACATGCCACAGAACATGTATAAAGGGTAGGGGACAACTTATGGTTCAGTTCTTTCCTTCCATCATTTGGGCCCTGGGGACCAAAAACTCAGGTGGTCAGGTTTGGTTGCAAGCACTTACCTACTGAGCCATCTTGATAGGACCCAACCACAATAATTTTTCAGGGAGGAATCTGAGAGTCAGCTACTGCTGTGGCTCTAGAATTGCTTATCTATTTTGTTTTCATCATTAGACCTTTATTTTATCTGTTTATGTATGCTTGTATGTATGTATTGAGACAGGGTCTTACTGTGAAGCTATGCGTGGCCTGGAACTTGTTGTGTAGCCCAGGCTGGCCTTTGCCTACTTCTGCCTCTCAAGAATGAAAAACATTTACCACCATGCCCAGCAGAACCCAGAGCTTTAGAAGAATTGTCATTCTTCATAGTGATGTGGAGGGTGTGTGCTGTTGTAGGCTGCACTCAGAACCCAAACCTGACATTGTCTAGCCTCAATAGGATCAGTAATTTACTCTTTAAGTCTTCTGTTGTTGGAGGGCCCGCTTGTTCTTCCCGGCTGCCCTACTAACTTAGCCCTGAAATAATCACACAGAAACTGTATTATTTAAAACACTACGTGGCCCATTAGCTCTAACTTCTTATTGGCTAACTCTTACATCTTAATTTAACCCATTTCTATTAATCTGTGTATCACCACAAGGTTGTAGCCTACCTTCTCCCAGCATTCAGTCCAGTCCTTTCTGCCTACCTAAGTTCTGCCCTACCAACAGGCCGAGGCAAGTTTCTTTATTCATTAATTGTAATCACAGCACACTGAGGGGACTCCCACATCATTCTGTGAATTCAAACTTTGTATTTTCTGAACTTACTTCTTTTTAGCATTTTATTTGTGTGTATCAGTGTTTTGCACAAATGTATATCTGTGCACCTAGTACATACCTGGTGCCTGAGGTAGCCAGAAAAGGGAGTCAGATCTTCTGGAAGTGGAGTTAGATGGTTGTGAGCCACCATGTGGGTGCTAGAAATGGAACCCATGTCTTCTGGAAGAGCAGCCAGTACTCTTAACCACTGGACCAACACTTCAGTCCAGGTTTTTTGGGTGTGTGTGTGTTTATTTTGTATGTCCTTATTCACGGAAATGCTGAGAAGTGTTCCCTGAGTCTTGGCCCTCCGTGTGCTCAGTGCAGGCATACTGGGGTTGACCTTCCGTCCCTGTGGGATGGAAGCTGCTCAGTGTCCATAGCGGCGACTCTTAGCCATCTCAGTTCTGGTCGATTTGAGTAGTTGCAGAAGTTCCTTTCACTTTTATGTCCGTTTTTGTTCTGTTTATTCTGAGTCCGAATCGGCTGTTGCCGACATTGTTAATATTTAAGGGACTGAAGCCCAACCGTCCTCCACGCAGGGAGTGTGGCACAGTTGCCAGAGTGCTGGCCCAGCATGCAGGAGCCCTGGGCTTTTATAACTGGGCATGGTCCCAGCCCTTGAGAGGCAGAGGCAGGAAGATCAAAGGTTCAGGTTATCGTTGGCTACATAGAGAGCGCCCAGCCTGGGCTACATGAGAACACGTGTTAAAAGGTGTCTGTCAGTACAGTGTGGAATGGTGTGTAGCTTTGTTTTCCCAGGTGTTAAGAATGTAATACTTACATTTCTACAAATTCACCTACGTTTTTTTTTTCTTCTTCAGATTGCAAAAGATGCCAAAGAATGTGTTCAGGAATGTGTGAGTGAGTTCATAAGCTTCATCACGTCTGAAGCGAGTGAGCGCTGCCACCAGGAGAAGCGGAAGACGATCAATGGGGAGGACATCCTTTTCGCCATGTCCACCCTAGGCTTCGACAGCTATGTGGAGCCTCTGAAGCTGTACCTCCAGAAGTTCAGAGAGGTGAGCGGTGATGAGAGGGACTCTGGGTTTGTGCTGCCAGGCGGCAGACCACTGAAATAATTCAGGCTTTGGTTCCCCGTCTGTAATGAGACTTCCACCGTAGGATTACTGAAAAGACTGAGTGGTGGGCAGTGCTGCTGGGTTAACTTAGGAGCTGTTGGTCAGCGTGGGACTTCTCACTGACCGTCCCTTTGTGTGTATGCAGATGATCCACATCTGCTGTCTAGCACTTGGCACTTTAGTTTTTGTGACAGGTCTCACTGGGTCAGAAGCCCCGTACCTGGCTAGGCTGGCTGGCCAGTAAGTGCCCAGGACCCTCCTGCCAGCTTCCCAGCACTGGTATACACCAGCTCTTAGTGGATCGTTAGGACTCTGGGCTCGGGTCCTGCTCTCTGAAGGTGTCTTTAGTCCCTGGAAATTGGTAGGTTTTGCATGGAATAATTTAAGTGGGAAAACAGAGTCCATAATACTCTTCCAAGTATTTCCCACAATACTTTCTTAGATGCTGAAGAGTACCACAGACCTGGAAAGCAGGTGGACTTTTGAGGTCTCTGCTTTAAACTAATTTGCATTTGAAGATATTAAACACTATGTACGCTTGGAGCTTCCCAGTATTTCCCAGCTGGCTGTCCACACCGACGACACACAGGAACATGCCATGAAGGGTTAATAAAATACTGTTACGGTTGTCCAACTCAAGCTTCCAATTTTGGACATCACATTCTCATTTAGAAACAGTTCAAATGTGAACCGTTGTTTTGGCTTTCTTATTCCCTAGGCCATGAAAGGAGAGAAGGGCATTGGTGGAGCCGTCTCGGCTACTGATGGGCTAAGTGAGGAGCTCACAGAAGAAGCCTTCAGTAAGCATTTTGCAAGCTGTTGCTGGGGGTGGGCTGTCGAGTCAGGTGCAGAGCAACTTGTCAGGACCCTGTTCTAAATGACCTCTACAAGTTCATGTCCTTGTGTGAAGTCAGCGTAAAAACGTGGAGATGTTAACTGGGAGGACACGAAGAGCTGTGGCCTGTAACAAACTGGTGTGATGTACACGTCAGCACAGGAGACGTCAACCCACAGCGCCTGCTGCTGTCCTGTGTTCTCTGGCCACGCCCCGTGGTGAGACTGGGGCCAAGCATAGTGTCCCTGTTGCTAAGTACAATGCGGTGAATTGGAAGACACAACAGGACAAAAATGTGACTTTTATTTTTTTGGAGACTTTTTAAAAAGAAAATAGAAAGTTTATGATCTTACATAGGATTATATTCTGCATATATGGGAGAACTGTAGTTGGTCATTAATGACTTGAAATTAAGGTTGAGGCCAAGAATGTAAGATTATTTTCCCTTTAATTTTTTTCTTCTCCTCTTTCTTTAGCTAACCAGTTACCAGCTGGCTTAATAACTGCAGATGGCCAACAACAGAATGTCATGGTTTACACAACGTCCTACCAACAGGTACGGTGCTGTCTCTGCATTTCAGGTGCTTCAAACACAGACTGTAGTCACTAAAGTCACTGGTTTTGCTTAATCACCCAAAATTTCAACTTACTATTAAGGATGTAATAAAACTGTTTTTTCGAAATATTAGTTAGTGTCAGAACGCCTTAATGGTGAAGACATTTCACAGGTGCTCATATCTGTAGAGAAGATCCTGGCATAGCTCCAAGGGGCGGCAGGCAGCGGCTAACTGTGGGGAGCAGATCTGTCCGGGGCACATTACTTTAAACTTTGAGATATCATAATTTACGTTTTGCAATCCTAGATTTCTGGTGTCCAGCAAATTCAGTTTTCGTGACCTGAAGAAATGATGGAAGAGGCTGTGGAGAGTCCAACCGAGTCTGGAGCCGGCCTCGGGAGGAAGTGAGGGCCAGGTCGCCTGTTTGTACAGTAAGCAGCTGTAATGTAGCTTCCTGATGCTTGACTCATTGAGGTGTTAATTCTGACTTGAGAATCTTTTTCATGGATAATTTTAAAGAAAAAAATTGGACTTCAAAAGTATTAAAATATTTTTGTTTTGTATGAGAGTTTGTTGCTCTGTATGACGCCTGTATGCATTGTATATTGCAATTTATTCCTGTCAGAGATTTGTAGACAGTTTCTTATTTTCATATTGAATCATGTTATTTTGTAATTCAAGTAAGCAGCTGGGTTAATTCATGATGTTTGCCCTTTTAATAAAATATGAGGGTAGAGTTCATTTTGAATGCAAGTTGCCTTTATTAAAATTTTGAGTTTGTCTTGGCTTATACTATCTTGCATGATAACCTAGCTAGATTTTTGCATTTACTTTATTTATTGAAATTAATTTTTTTTTGGTAAAACAGTAATAGCTTAAGCAGTATCTTTTTTCAATGTAATTGAATAATTAAGTTGATGCAGAAGCAAGTATTGTCTGGCCTATAAACTTGGTGCCCATCACTGTCCGTAACCTGTTCAGGTAGCTTTAGTTATTATTATGTGTTAGAATTCATTTCCATTTGACAGCCCATAAGACAGTTTCTCTGCGTAGCTTTGGAGCCTGTCCTGGAACTAGTTCAGAAAACCAGACTGGCCTCAAACTCACATAGATCCACCTGCCTCTGCCTCCCGAGTGCTGGGATTAAAGGTGTGTGCCACTGGACAGGGAAGTAGTCCCTTTCTTAAAAGCATTATAGCGTCCTCTTTAAGAAGAGGGTGTCTTGGTTCACGATAATGTCATATCACCTTTGCACGGAAAGGTTAGACTCCTGTTGAGCTGTGGGGACTAGAAAGGCGGGTGTGGTTCTGTGCAGGCCGTTTACATGGAAGAGTGAGCACGCAGGAGAGCAGTGAAGACTGCGGACAGAGTGATGCGGAGCCTCGGGGTTGCTGTCATGCTGTGCAGTGAGCAGAGATGATGCAGCTTTGTACAGTCAGTAGTGTGTGCTCGGGTTCCTTTGCTGAAGTGAAGACTTATTTCTCATCTATTCTTTCTAGTAATGATTACTTTAAATTTTTGTGCATGTGGTGGTTGTAGTTTTGTCTCTATCAAAAAATGGCTTTTTGTCCAGAAGGAAATTTGTGAGACTCTAATGGAGGAAGGAGAGCAACTTCCTGGATACAAACCGGACGGTAACAGCCACTTTGTCAGGAGCCTTGGAGAACATGGCTGTCTATTCAGAGATAACTCCTCCCTCTTGTACCCCTTTCAATAATATCTTCATGGTAGAAAATGCACATAGGAAAGAAGGGCAGAGGATGGTTAAACAAAATGAAGTCATCCTACTGTGTTGAAATAACCAATGTTAATATTTTGATAAATCATCTGTCCTTTTACTTTGCTAAATATGTATATTTTTATAAAAATGGGTTTATGTTGTACACACTGTTTGTAACCAGCTTTTTCACTTAACAATATATTGTGAACATCTTCCCAGGTTGTGAATGGCCTTCCGCATCATGTTTTCTGGGTTTTTATTCTGTTGTATGACTAAATCATGATTAATTTATTTAATCGCTTACTGGAGATTTTTTACTCTTTTCATCTCTTTATAGTTATAAATAGCCCTTCACTGAACCTTGTATAAATCATAACTTTTTTGAAATAAATTCTTAGAACTGCTGGGTTACCAGACACATAGAGAGGGAAGGTTTTGCTCCAGAGTGGGGGTGGGGATGGGGGGTCACTTTTGGAGTGTGTCTTACCTGGACACTGTCGCTGCCTTACCAACAGTGTGAGACCCTGGGCATCAGACCATCTCGACAGCTACGCAGAGGGTGAGAGTGAAGATAAAAAAGCATAACATCAAAACAGGACTTGGAACCCAACTGTGAGGGATATCTTTTGAGGCAAAAGCAGGTCAACTCCGGGCTATATCTCCTTACTCATGCAGAGAAGAGAACAGACTGTGTGTGCCTGATACATGTCCTTTGTGTTCAGCAAGTGTTGGCTTCATGGTCGTCCTGACTCACATCTGATAGCATCCTCAAGCCAAAAATAATTTTATAATTTTTAAAATACTTTTAATGATTTAAGTTACAGGTGTCATAAGGGAGTTAAACTTTCCTGATTTTGATGTTTGGTGCAGTGGTGTACAAGTTGTTAGTATTTATTTCTCTCCTCCATGTAATATGTATGCAGTATTTTCCTTTCTTGAAAAAACATGCCTTATTGCCTTGGTGAGCAAAAGAAACCCAATAACATTTAATATTCTACTTATAAATTCTTAGGAGGCTCTATCTCCAGTGTGTCCAGTGGAGCAATGAGATGGAATCAACAAAAGGCTGGCAGGGTGGCACAGTGGGTAAGGCACTTGCTGCCAAGACTGACCTGAGTTCAGTCCCCCATCCCTCTTCCGTGCACATGCACACACAATAAATATACAATCTTATCATTTGCGAGATGTAACTATATATAGTTGAGGAAGTTATGCTTTATCAGCAAGGAATATATATATATATATACATACATACATACATACATACGTACACTTTATATGATAAAATATGCCACCAGACCCCACACACAAATGTAATGACAGGGTTCTGGGCAAGGACAAGGCATAAGCAGTACCTATCTGCCAGCAAGGCTCATCCACACATGAATAGTCCTCATCGCTGGGCTTTTAGGAAACCAAATCCAGGTGAGATTGGTGGCACGCTGCCAGAAGGGCCCGTCCTTGTGAGGCTGAGGCAATGAGACAGGCTGGAGAGGGCTCAGAGGTTAGGACTGCTCAGTATTCTCGCACAGGACTCAAGTTTGGTTCCCAGCACACACACGCTGGGTGGCTCACAAGCATCTGTATGTACCTCCAGATCTAGGGGATGAGATGACTCATTTCCCCACCAGTTCTGCACTCATGCACATCCCTGCTCCTCTAATTTAACACACACACACACACACACACACACACACACACACACACACTTTGGAAAGCAATCAGCAGATGAGAACATGCAAGGGAATATCTGGGCCATTTGATTAAATGCAGTTTTGCTTCTTACTCTGGCAAAAATAACTTGGAAAATGCTTCCCTGGGGCTGGGGAGATGGTTAATTGATTCCATGCTCGCCAATCATGCATGTTCAGTTCACAGGAGTCCTGTAAAACTGAAAAGGCAGAATGTGCCAGATTCCAGTACTAGTGAGGTGAAGACAAGTTCCCAGGCCAGTGAGCGGCCCGTTTATTGTTACATTTTCTCATCTGTTGTAAGTGGATTCCCCAGAACTGCAAGTGCTGCTGTACAGGTCTGTGTTTCCCGACTTCTCTGTAGACTTTAAACACCCTGTAGTGCTGGGTATCACATCACAGGCCTTGTAATTTCTGCACTAAATCAAGAATTTAGACTGGGCGGTGCTGGTGCACACCTTTAATCCCAGCACTCAGGAGGCAGAGGCAGGCGGATCTCTGTGAGCTTGAGGCTAGTCTGGTCTACAAGAGCGAGTTTCAGGACAGCCAGAGCTACACAGGGAAACCCCGTCTCAACAAACAAGATCAAGAATTCAGGGTCCTCTTTGACTGGGTAGCAAGTGGAGACCAGCTTGGGCTACTTGACTTTCTCAGAAAGCCAAAAAAGGCTGCATTCAAGTGTGTGTTTTCCTTCTTGAATCCACAGTAAGTTACATCTTCAGACTTCATCTGGGAAGCAGCCTAAATGATACAGCTTCTCTTATACTGAATAGCAAAGGAAGGTAAAGTAATATAAAGTGGTATAAACATCTTCTAGGTTCGGTGGAGTGGGTAAAGGCATTTGCTATTGAGCCTGGGTTTGAGTCCTGGGACCCATTAGAATAAAGTTGGGAACTGACCTCCACCCTGGAACTATGGCATCATGCAATAATGCATGTACATAAATTGTACTGTTAAAAGATCCTTTAAATGTATTTGACATAAGAGTGTGTTTTCAGATAAGAAGTGGAAATGGGAAGCCTTTGGTAGGCCAGCACCCAAGTTTGCTTCTCTGTCCCCAGAGGTGCTAAGCCCTGCACATGTGGAAACAGTAGCCAGGCTGGACAGAGGCTGAACTCCGAAAACTACAACCACTGCAGAAATGTGCGTGGGCTAGGACACCCCTCGGTCCTAGTGCTGGATGGAGAGACAGGAATTGCCACTCTCAAACGATTCAGAATAGCCATTCCTCAGTTTACTGTAATTTGAAGGAGTCTTAGGCTAACAGCCTTGGATGTCTGACTGAGCAAACAGATTCTCTTAGGGATTTTCCAACTTCAGTCTGACTCAAATCATCCCCAGCTGCCAAGGAAGCTACCAGAGACAGAATCCATGAGATAAACAGAAGCACCGTAAAGAACATGAACAGGAAAAACTGATGTCTGGAGAAACATAAAAGGATTGCAGAAAGATTTGTAAACCAACTTGGACAAAAAAATGATTGAAAATTAAAAAAGAACCCTCTAGGCGATAAGGCCACTGTCTTCTTCCCTTCACCAGGACTCAGGAGTTTGGCACATAAACCAAGTGGTGGGATCCCAGAAAGTCTGTGTCAAGGCTGTCAGTACCATCACCAAGGCATGATTAGGGGGACCTCATGTGCCTGAGTGAGCACTGGGTTGGTTGCTCTAGGCCAGTACTTAAGAGCCAGACTCCTGAAAACCTGAGTCTTCATTCTGGGACAGGCGTGGTTGCTACTCTGGTGGTAGGACAGTCTGGTGGCCAGGGCTGGCTTATGCACCTCTCAGGGCTGGGAACTGATCTGGGCAATGCCCGAGGGTTTCCTGCAGCATGAGGGAAGTACTGGAGATCACGGGGACGTGACTCACAGGTTCCATGTGAGTTTGTCCTAGAGCCCACCTTTTGCAAGCTGCAGACTTCACTCCAGGCCTCGGGTGGGACATATGGTACAGTGTTTGACCCTATCCATACAGAGAAAGACTTGACCTCCACATGCCTAAGACTGGGATTAAACTAAAAAGACAATTTATGTTTAAGACTTAGAAATAATCACAACAAATAGGCTAAATCATTCAACTTAAAAAAACTGGTTGGCGGGCAGGAGAGATGGCTCAGAGGTTAAGAGCACTGACTGCTCTTCCAGAGGTCCTGAGTTCAATTCTCAGCAACCACATGGTGGCTCACAACCATCTGGCCTGCAAGCATACATGCAAACAGAACACTGTATATGTAATAAATAAATAAATCTTTAAAAAAAAAAAACTTGGTTGGCACAGTGGTGGTACATACCTTTAATCCTAGTACTCTGGAAGCAGAGGCAGGTGGATCTC